AACTGTAACCCTAGTTCTCAGTCACGTCTCAGGTCAGTCCAGAGGCTGAGACCACCAGACCTAATGCTTGCTCAAAGGCAACTATTATCCTAGAGGCATTCTGGATATATCCCAAGCAACCTTTGGCATACCCTTTCTAGGCCCACTGCCCATGGAGCTTTAGGCTTTTTCCCCCTCTCTTAACCCTTACACCAGCCCTAATGCCACATCCTAGCAACAATTAACTGATTCTGGAGGCTGGGGTGATCAAGCCTCCCATTAGCTCAAAAGCCAATACTATTCTAGAAACAATCTGGATCCTGCACCACATTTTCTTTGGCACATCCTTTCTAATCCCACTACTCAGGGGGGCAGTTTCTAGGCTTTCTCTCTCTCTTTGCCCTAACCATAGCACTCACAACAATCTCAAATGGCTCTGGAAGACACCAGGTCCAGTTGTAGCTCTAAGGCATATACTGGCCAAGAACCAATCTGGATCAAGTGTTGCACTTCCTTTGGCCCACCTTTCCCAGCCCCACTCCCCGTGAGGCTCTAGGCATTAAATCTTTCTTCACCATAACTCTCACCCTAACACCAATTTGCAGCCATAGTTCAAGTGATCCCAAAGACCAAGGTCTCTGAGCCTTCTATTGGCTCAAAGGCAGATACTAGTCCAGAATCAATCTGGATACAGCGTCACATTTCCTTTGGCATAGCCTTTCTAGCCCCACTACCCATTGGGCTCTAGGCTTTCTCTCTCTCTTTTCTCAACAGTCCTATCTCAAGTAATTCCGGAAAGCTGGAATTGACTCGAAGCAGACACTATTTTAGAATCCACAGGGATAAAGCACTGCATTTTCTTTAACACGTCCTTTTAGTCCCATCCTCATAGGGCTCTAAGCTTTGTCCCTCAACCCTAACACTCAGAATACTCTCAAGTGTCCCTGGTGGCCAGAGGGTAGCCAGGGGTAAAGGCTGCCCTGAAAGCATCTTTTTAACAGCATCCAATATAGGTTATTCAAAAAGGAAACTGTTTTCAAAATTTCAAATCCAATTCTCCCAATTCTTTTTTTACTTTTTCTTTTTTAGTGTATGTGAAGAATATGGCTCATAACTTTATTTGCAAAAATAAATGCAAGGCAGCACAAATCCCTGACGTTAAATTGACCTTCAGTTTTCCTGGAAAAGAATGTCAAGAATAAGTAGTAAGAAATTCAAATGGACAGGGCAAGTATTCTTGTAGAGCACTGTAGCAAAAGGCATCTGCTCAAGATAAGATGTAAATATGCTGCATACACATGCATACGTATGTATGATCTTGAGTCAGACAGTAGTGTTTTGGCAAAGTATTAAGTAGTTCAGAATTATTATAATATTCAGACATTATAATGTCCAGTTCTTCTGGAAACTTTCATGGGAAGATATGCTTACAAAGGTCTTCCTAGTTTAAACTTTATAGCTCTTAAGATTTTAAATAGCTTTCTCTATTTGTCATACAGCCAATATCTAAACTTCGAGAGTAGTAGGGAGGTACTCCTGTAATTCAGGAAGTCTGGATGTTAGAAATGGAGAAACTGGTGCTGTCATTTTCATCATCCCACAGAATTTATTAAGGCCCATGGGGAGTAATCCATGAAAATATCACCATAATACAATATGACTTTCCTTAAAACTTCTAAAAAATTCCTATTTTATGTACAGCTTGAGAGAATCATAGAATCATTATCGCTGGAAAAGGCCTTCTGGATCATTAAGTCCAACCATAAGCCCTTCATCATCATCTTAAATCATATCCCTAAGCACCTCAATAAATGTTTAACTGAAGAACGATGGATATTTTTCTTCATGAAAAGAATGATTTTCCTCCTTTTTGCCTATTAAGCATATATTATATATACATATATATACACACATATAGGTATATATCTTATTACACCTTCCACCTCTATATGTTAGGCCCAGGTAGGAAAGCCATTGAAATAAACAAAATCATCAATTTCAAAGTAACTGTGTTAAAATTATTATTCTGTTACCAAAAAAAAAAAGATAATGATAATCAAAAGTATTCCTCCCAAACAAGGTGTTCCCAAGACTGGAATTTGCTTTTGAAAGATTACAAATTGGAACTAGAAAGCACTTCACAACCCTGAGCTAGAAGAGACAGCTCGTCAGAAGTCCTATCGAGTTTCACCCAGTCCTGCATCCACCACAGCATACACAAACAAAATGAAATCTTTTGAGGCAAGCTGCCCAGCAGCCAAGGTTTCAGGTAAGGAAGCTGGAGGGAAGATATTGATTGTTCTCAAACTGCTTTCAAAGTAATGGAAAGAGAGAGAAAGGAGAGCTGCACTTCTGGTAAAAGTGATATTGATGAAACAGCTGCAACTGCTTTGCAGTTCTCACTAAACCAGATTTCTGCCTTTCCTGACCACTCTTTCCTGCTTAATGAAGACAGAAGTAAGGAAAAAGTAGAAGAACATATTTCTAAGAGGCACCAAGATACAAGTTTAATCACGTTCCTAGTCCTGCCCAATGCTGGACACGGCAATACAACCAAGCAGATTGCCCCGACTGTTCTACTTCTGCACAGAGAAGTGCTGGCAGTCGAGACTTTACCATAGTCCTTTGCTTTGGTGTATTTGCTGTAGTAATTAACACGTTGTTGCAGCTTCACAATACAAATAGAGGAAGGAATTGAAGCTCTTTGCCCATAGCCATAGACAAAGAGGAAAGGTAAACTGAAAGGATGGGAAGACTGATTACTTGGTTCATTTCTCTTTCGTGGAGAGTTGAATTCAGTTTTATTTCTATTTCTGCCATTGATTCTTAGTTTTGGCTTGGACAAGTCACTAGTAGAAACTGCCCTAACACGTCACCACAACCAGGGCTTCTAGCAAGTTACTAGCTAAGAATTTGTCTTCTAGCTGTAATTTCAGTCCATTGCTGGCAAGCATCAGAAAAAGCTTGCTGCCTTCTCTATCAATGACACTTTCAAACCAAATCATTATAGAGGAAATATTAAGATGAGCATGTTAAGGCTTTCGATAGAGATACCTTTGTCACAGCATCCTTCCATACATAGGACTCATGCCCTGCCTCCATAGGGTAGATGGGGAGGGCTCGTTGCCCATTCAGGTTTCAGAATCAACACTGGCTCTTCAACATGATTCTCCTTCCAAATCAACAGCAAACTTCGCCCTTGAATTCACTAGTTGTGAATACACCGCAAAACACTCCTTAATCACTTGGGCAGAATTCTTGTTTAATTATATTGGCAATGCCTAAACATGAAGGAGTTAAAATAGTATGAATCATTCCTAACGATATTAATAAAAGAAACCAGAGTTATTCACACTAGAGAAGTTTTACATATTTCCACTGTATCTAGTAGTGTTTAATCTGTTTACATTTAGATTTTTGTTGCTGTTCTTGTTGTGAAGTAGTTTTCAGTGAAATTACTATATTAATACGTGTTGAAATACCAAGGTGCTAATGAGCATATTAACACAAAGAAGCTATATTTTAGCTGATATATCAGCTTGAACCTATTGTTTATATTAAAACTGGAGTGGGGTTTTTTGAAGGATGGTTCAATATATTTTTCCATTACATACAACATTTTCTCGCAAACTTAATTACAGTATGATTTTATAAGAAATTAAAATTGGGATGTAACTGTATATCTTCCAGAAAGGCCAACGTTGCATTTTATCTTTTTGTTTGTTTGTTTATAATTATCTGTTATCAAGCTGCAATTGACACATACTTAGTAAGAGGCATTTTAAAATACTGCATATCCAGAGCACGAAGAAACAAAAGCGAGCACTGTCATAAATAAAAAAAATGCTCAATTGTTTAGAACTCAAAAAGTAATTTCACAATACCAGAACAAATGCATGTTATATGTATTGTCACCACATATGGTTTTAAGGATGATTTACTTCACTAGTTCAGTAACTTTTTATGAAAGTGCTGTGTTCAAGATTTCACATGTTACCTGCACATTGAACAGGTTTATGGGGTGATGATGCAAATCTACATCCATCAGTGATCCAAGTCTACTGCAAAAAGTTAATATTTCAGAAAACTCAAGTGCTTTCTGTGGCTCGGGGATTGCATTGGGGCTGAGAACAGTTGCAGCAGTGAGCACTGGCTTAGGCTCCACATACCAGCACCCTGACAAAAACCAGTCTTTGTTGAGTTTTAGTGCTTCAGGGAGCGAACAGCCTTTGTTTACTATGTTACACAGGAGAAAATTAAGGAAGACAACTGTTTTAAGATCTTACTTATAACCAAAAGAGCCTATTTTATCCAGTATGAAAAAAAAATCAATTTGTATAGACAAAAAAAGCCCTACTAAAATTAATGTGAAGCCCTCTGAGATTAGATGAAATGATACGACCCATATAGCAGACAGCAGACACAAGTCTGAGCAAACAAACAGGAATTTTAAAACATATATACATTATATATATTTAAAATATCCACATTTAATGCTGACATCGATGTCTTTTTCCTTTTGACATGTCAAGCAGGCTAATTCAAACAAAGGTAGCTGTATTATCCTGTAGCAATAGTGCTTTGCATTTATCCATGAAAATGTTGTTTAAAACACAGACACTGATACATAACAAATTTCTAACTGCATCATAAATCAGAAGAGCAAAGTGTTACAGACGTGGACTGCACATATCAAGTTTTCTAACAGTGGGCAGCTTCCAAAGGCAGCTGCCAGATAAGCCTATGTCCACTGACTTCATTCTTTCTAATAAATATCCACTCACAGACACTTGGCAATTCTCTTTAAAATACAAGTGTCAGGCTAGAATCTCCTTCTGTTTTACAGCAGCAAAGTAAAAGCAGCAGGACCAGACTAAGATCTTTAGCCTGAACATTATGTTCACTTTTCAAGCATTGCATTTCACAGCTTTTATACCTGGTGCTCGCTAAGGCTCTCTTTGCACATCAGCTACCACACCTACAAACAGCAAGTGACTACAAACTGCGAGTGGCCACTTTACCTTCTGAAAAATCAATCAGTCCCAGCAAATGAAGCAGCTTCAGAGATGCAAATATAATCACAACAATACCCACTGTTTGCAGTCCCTCCGACTCCCACTCTAGAGTCAACATCCTTCCAGCCGGCAAATCATTCCAGGCTTCGCCCCAGCTTGCGAGCAGAGGGGAATCGGAGGGTTTCACCGACAGTGTGCTCTGAAGAAAGTTGCAGTGGTGCAAAGCAGCGCAGCGCTGAGCTGTGGCAATTCGCTATCCACACCAGCTGAGGCAAAACATCAGGAAAAGCCTTGCATCTCATGCTTCTCTAAGCATTTCATTTCAGCAGCACTGGGTCCTCTCAGATGGCTGGGGGGGACCACTAACCCCTGGGCAGGACATCGTATCCGGCGAGTAGCGTGGCTTTTCAGAGCAGCTGGAAAAACATCTGCCTCAGACCCGGAGACTTGGCTGTGGCAGAGCAGAGAAAGGCTCCCTGGAAACTTGCAGCAGGGAGCGCGCTGCTGTCAGCGCCGCGCACCGCGCTCCCGGAGCCGGCCCCAGCGCTCCTCTCCCGCAGCCCTTCCCCGGCTCCCTTTCGCACAGCTTTTGACAAGTTTGGCAAACGGCAGTTTACGAAAGACATCTGTTTTCACATATGCCAAATGCTGCATGGCAGAAAGCTCCTGCCCTCCGCATCAGACAAAGCAGCATTTGGAGAAACGCTGTCTCTTCCTTTTCTGACAGCGTCGCCAGGATCTAATTAGGCTCGAGTGGAAATGAGAATGAAATTTCAGAAATCCAGAGCAGCAGGGTCTGCGCTCCAGCTCGCAGCACAGTGTCATCAGCGGGAGCCCCGCTGCCCGAGCCCTGCTATGCAGCCGGAGGGGACGCGCTAGTGATGGGGAAGTGCAGGAACTTCTGGAGCCCAGGAGCACTGAGCCCCGGTCCCATTCACGGGCATTAGACACTTTCAACAACTACGCGACAGATCTTGCCCAGACTCTGCAGCAGGGAAGGATAAGGCATGCGATAGCAGCTGATTTATTGCATAGCCTGTGTAAAATTAACTGTCCTCAGTTTACTAATGTGAATAGCAAGAGCACAACCTACAAGAGGCTTTAAAATATATTTAGGCAGCACTTGCATCACTATCAGCTTGGGCCTAAATGCTTATTCTTGTCCCCATGCTAATTGTCCTAAATCCTGCCCACTAGAATATAACACACTAGAATACAGGGAAGTCTGATAAAAATAATTTTAGACATGCTAGATAAAGAAAAAAGATCTAACACTAAAAATAATCTCATAAACCAAGTCAAATATTGACCACTGACATTAGCTTGCTTAACTCTTCCCATTAGAAACACTTTTACTAACTTTCTGAGAAGAACAGAAACTTTTTTTCTGAAGGCCATTAAAGTTAAGATCACAATAGTAACAATCAACTGCTTAAGGACTACAGGAAGAGAGAGAAACACATGCATATATTTCAGTTAATACTAGGTTTTATTTAGGCATTATGTGAACACTAACGTTCTCAGATTTTATTTCTCCAGGTATTCCACACTAGAGCGCCCTGAGTTCTGTTATTTGTCAGTTCTTCAAACTATTAACCAAAAGGGCTAAAAGCTCTCCAAGAGAAATACATAGTAAAAATAAATCAAATAACATTCAGTACTCTACGTGTGCATGTCCCAAGTAGACGATTACCTTTTTATTGTAAAATAATCATTGAAAATATGTATATGTATCTAAATCAGTACTTTGTTCCCTTCTATTTCTGCTTATTCCATATTCACATTTCCCTTTTAAGGCTCTGACATGTTTGTCTTAACTCATTCTCATCCCTGACTTGTATTTTCTCCTTAGGCTTATTCCTCTTTGTCTCTTCCATCTTTCAAAAGATGAACGATGGCCAAATGCTCTTGGGAGCTGAGGTCATCCTATTTGAACCCCCAACGTAGAATGCCGAAATGTGCATTACATGTGCAACACACCCATATGCACAAAGCCACCTGACAAACATTTACAGAAGTGGAAGCAGTTCAGTTAAATACAAATTCACGCCTTAGAACATTTGAAAATAAAAATCAATCTTAAAGGAGATTTTAAGATTCGCTTACATAAAGACATCTGCTTGCATTCTTCACACTTGCTAAATCCATAATCTAGTGTAATTTCTATGTCTTACTCCCAATTAGAGCAGTTACATGCTCAAATTTCTGTGACATGGCCTTGTGGTCCCTGTGTTGGCACTATATGTGAATTTAAGAAGCTCTTCAAAGAGAGAATTTTCATCAATGTCATCCCCAAGATTCGCAGAAAAATATCATTCTACCTTTTACTACCTTTTACTACACCCTGCTACCATAATTAACAAAACAAAATCAGGAAGCTTGTTTTTTCTTTTAATAGCTTTAAGATTATCAATAACAATTCTTACTTTAGTGCTCACAAAGCATTGTCTGTATTATTAAAATGTATTATTTATAACCAGTCTCATCTTAGTGCTTACAAGTTTACATTGTAATTTATACAGTCTTCCCTTTTCAATTTCTTGCAGATTCTGTACATGAGAATAGTAAAATAGGAATGCCTAATTGATTGAATATATTAAAGTGTTTATGCATATTAAGTATCTTTCCAGTATATTTTGACATCTGCATGTAAGACACTTTCCTCAGACATAAATGTCTTCACATGTGTACTGAACATAATTTTCAAGGTGAGGCTGTATTACTCATTAACTATCTTGAATGATGTTTTCCTAAATGATGAAATCTGCTCAGTGTTATAACTAATTTAACAACAAAAAAAAAATCACTATTAATTGGCTAGCAGTAATAGTTCATCAGAACCCATTTGAGTTTTTTCCCCAAATGTAGCTGAAAATGGAAACAGTTGATGAGTTAGAAATAGAAATAAAATTTGGAGGTATTAATTAGCTGCCCTTCTTTTTGCGCTTTCTTTTCCAGAGGGAAATGTCAGTCATCCAGAAGTAGCTGTCAGATAAACACAGACAAGGCACCTATGAACAGGTCAGGTCAGCTCAACTCGTAAGCTCCTGCTTATTGTTGATAGCACATCTGAGTTTATTAGGGAAAGTTCTGTGGCTCTTAATAAGCCTAATCCTCATATTAGTCAGCCAGCAAGAAATCTCTTCACAGGCAATAATCCACAGTTTTCTACACATTTAAGTTTATATCTTAGTTCTGCTGAAGAAAACTTTGCCCAGCAGAAAACATTTGGGGAGCCTGGAGAAGCAATTAACTTAATTCATGCAAATCCTTTCAAGAATTATTCAGAGTGGAAAAATGCGTGTTTTCCAAAGCAACACCTCCTGCGTGGTTTGTTGCAGCTAATCACAGAGTATCTTGTAATCTTCAGAAAATGCTTAGAAAAATAAGTATGGGATCACTTTGTTCATCTCAACAGTGCTGCAGCCACTAAAGAGCACAATAATTGCACTACTAAGTAACTTTTCCAACAAAATTGTGGAAAAACTTTATCTAGGCAGAATAACTAATTAGAGTGTAATTACCTAAGATAAGATTTGTCAGACTCAATATATCATCTTTAATATTTACACTGCATGCCCTAGATCTTTATATGACCGTAAGTGGATGTAGGTTGAGAAAGAAAAAAAAAAATGGACACCTGTACAGGCAAGATAAGATTTTACTGGTTTATAGACAAGGGAGAAAATAAGATATCCAGGTTTAAGGCTTGGTTTCATACTCTGAAATAAATTACACTGAAACATTATTGCAACTATAACTGTGTAGAGTTGATTTCCTTGTTCCACTAGTCTGGTTCTAGACTGTGGTATTGGGATTTTACTATTTTTTCTTTGTTCTCACCTTCTGACTCTCACTTGCTCCCAGAAGCTCACTTTGATCTAAATCAAAGGGCTGCTGCCATTACTGCTCTGAAAACAAGAGCTGAAAAGAATCCCACAAGAAAATTGTAATAAAAACACTCCAGTGACATAACAACTACAGGTGGTTTCATTTCTTTTTCTATAAAATTAATTGGTACAGCACGTTATTCAACTATGCTTAAAATAGCAAGTGAGTTGTAAATTTAACAGCACAGACACAGGAGTAAAAGAAACATTTTCATTTTCAAAGCTTTAGCAAAAGATTACAGAGAGGCTATATCTTTCCTAAACAAGGTTAGATTACATTTAGTAATAGTAAGTAATCAAATTCTGATTTGTTTTACTGCAAAGCCCACTGGCTTGCTTGGCAAACTAAATTATCTCTGAATTATATGACTATGTCTTCAGCCTCCAGTCCTGTTTTTCCTTTTATATTAAATCATACTTGATCTTGCAGTAGGAGAAATTGTGACTACCAAGCCTGTGAGCATAAATGCATGTCTGCACTGGAGAGCCACGGTGCAATGTAACTATTTGAGGCCAGCAGAACTGAACTACTGCATTAGCTGTATTTCAGCTAATGCAGCATAAAGCTCAGACTGGGTTAAACTACCCAGCACAGAATCAGGAAAGAAAAAAAAAAAACTTACCCCACAGCTGTAGATTTGCTCTAAAATTAAATGGTTCTTGCTTCTCTAGCCATTGTGCTACCTGAATGAGGATGCAGGCAATAATTTTTAGACAGCTCAAGCCTGAGGCATAATTCACCTGTACATATGTAATTTTTATCCCTTCTCCCAAGGTATCATCTGAGTAAATATCCTTGACCCACCTTCTTCTGACTTTTTCTACACTTGAGACACACTTTGCCTACTTATGGCAGGATTTAAACTTTTTTTTTTCTGCCTGGTCCCCCTCTTTAGACTTTGCACATTTAGGAATCTCAGTAATAGCAATGTCTGTTCACCTGATTTTCTTCTTTTATTGTTATTTTTCCAAATACAGATACAAATCAGATAACATCATTATCAATCATTTTACTTATATAATTAGGAACTGTTGGGAGGCCTACATACCAGGTCTGTGGAAATCATGGGACAAAGTAGCAGAATTTATTTGTCTATATTCAGTTATTTCTATTCAGCAAATTAGGAATAGGATTCCTTGATGCTTTTCCATACATCTAAAAAGCTACGTTTTTCTATGGTCTGTACAGCTCTTTGATAATCTCAAATGAGTTCCTAGAGGACAAGATAGCTGTTTACTGCCATGATGAATGGGAAAACAAATGACCCTTGTATGTTGGTTGTAAAAACTAATTGACAGGAATTATCACAACTACAGCTGCAGAACCAGCTATCTATTGTTTTTAAATCCTGAAGCCATCCTGTGCAACACATTTATTTTAAAATGTGTGGCTGCTTTCTTAGGAGTCAATGTATAGGGTTAGCAACCTAATTGAAGAAAAAATATTAAACATGATCTTACGAACATCACCGCCCTGCAACTCTCTTTTTGTTATATACCTGTCTTTCATTTAAAATATGCAAAACAAAATTTCTC